TTTCCAGGCATTTTTATACAGTTTAGAACAAAAGAAAGCAGTTTGAAAATCCCGCCCGCCCCCTGTCAGCCGGCTTCGCGCTGATTGGCTGAGGCCGGAACAGCTGGGAGGAGGTTATCCCGCCCTCCCCCGTCAAGAGCCAATGGGAGCGCTCCGCCTCGGGAGGGCCAATGGGCGCCCTCCGCTGGCTTCCTGGGTCCTGGCCAATCAGGAGCCAGGAGGCGGGACAGCCACTGACAATGGGGAAAGATGATGGGATTTGGGATTTCCTGCCCGCTGGAATGCGGGCCATTGTCCAAGGCGGGAAGAGGGTGATGTTTGTCAAACAAAGGCTTTCCTGTTCTTAATGAGTCTGGCGAGTGATATGAATAGCTGGATCGATACCGGACCGCCCGGAGGATCAACAGTATCTGGGTGATTTAATCAGTCCTTTCTTTCCGGGGCTCTGCTGACCAAACCCTCCTTCGTTGGCCTTGCTCCGATGACGAAATCGGGGGGCCAGCAGCATTGTCCATGCAAAATGAGTCAATCAATGGGTGATTTGGGGGGAAAGAGGCTTGGGCTCTTTCCCTCAGGCAGTTCCTGGTCAGGCTGGCTTCTTGGGGTAAGCAATATACAGGCATTTCATACATCACAACCCACCACCCATCCCAACCCCAATCCATAATAGGAAAATATTTTGTTTATTTTATTTCATAAAAAAGGAAAGAAAGACTAAAAATCCCAAAAGTCCAGGCGGAGGGGTTTGGATGCAGGGGCCAGCCTATGGTTCAGGCCGGCCATCCAAAGATCAGTTCATTTTATGAAACAGGAGCTGGAGCTGAAGGGGGAGCTACGTTCCACTGTCCCGTCCTTGGTGGAACTAGCGCTCCCAACCGGGGATCAGGCCTCCCTGCCCGATCCCCCACTTCCAAGGCTTTCCCTTGGGCGATGACGGCGGATCGTAGGCGGCTGGAACCATGCTGGAGCGAGCCGCAGCGAGCGGAATGAAGCAAGCGGCAAAAGCCGGCGAAATTTTGACAATCAGCTGGTGACTCGGCCGAATTTAATGATTAAACAAAAATAATTGTTTCACGAGTGCAGGAGTCCAAAGTGAGAAAACCAAGATAGCAGTTAGTCTTAGAAGTTAACGTAGAAAAATATAAAATTTGAATGGGCCCGATCCGCCATGTTGTTGTTTTGGCGGATAAGGGGGGCCAAAGGGAAAATCTCCGTATCCGCGATTTGAACTAACGCAAATTCGGAGGCCTGGGGAGGCCGGGAAGGCATCCCCAGTGAGCTCACGGTTTCCCGGAGCTCAGAAAAAGGTTTATTGTGAGTTAGAAAAGTTGCAGTCAGTAAAAGGACACAAAGTATCAAGCGGAAAGGATTTAAAGTTTCAAAACTTAAGTGTTTTATTGAGGGATTTGTTACAAAGAGAGGGAGAGGGGAAAGTGAAAGAAAGGCTTCATGCAGTCCTTTGCTTTGAGCTGCTGGCTGGGGCACATTTCATCAGTCGGACCCAACTTTGCTCTACGGAACTGCGGAACTCCCTGCTACGGTTCAAACCAACTTGAAGGCGGGAGATTCCGCTACTTGGGGGGTCATCATTATTTTGCTTCTGAATGTAAAATAAACATCTCAAAGTAGATCTGGATGGCAGCTAAAACCCTTCCAAAGTGTTTAATTTTAATTTTAGTAAAAAAAAATTTACAAGTCTAGACAACATTGATCATTTTATATAAAGCAACAAATAAAATCATGTAATATATCTTGTATTCATAAGACCTGTAGATTCATTTTTCCACCTCCGACAATATATGACCTCTCTAGACATTTTCTATATCTTTCAGCATTACTCTACTGTAGAGCTTTCCAAACTGTGTGTTGAGACTCATTAGTGTGCCAGCTGCAATGGGTAGGTGTACTGCTTGAATGTAAAGAGAAGCCTATCATTCTGTATGAAATAAGCAGTAAATCATATATTTTTTAAAAATATAAACATGTTTTCATGAAATAGGTTCTGTCTCCATACATTTCATTATTATATAAATGTCCATATATCTCCTAAGAGGTTGATTTATGTGCAGGTTTTGTAGGTGCAGGTTCTTACCTACAAAGCCCTGAATGGTTTGGGACCCGCCTACCTGCGTGACCGCATTTCTGTGTACACGATCTCTTTGATCTTCTGGAGAGGCCCTGCTCGCGCTCCCACCTCCATCGCAGGCGTGATTGGTGGGGACGAGAGAGAGGGCCTTCTCGGTGGTGGCCCATCGACTCTAGAACTCACTTCCCAAGGACATCAGACATGCCTCAACTCTGACAGTCTTTAGGAGCCTGAAAACGTAGTTGTTCCAGTGTGCCTTCCCAGAATAAGGAAAACTCTCAGCAATATTCTCTCTACATGCATTTTATCACTGATTTAGGATTGCCTGCATGCCCCCATCTCTCTCTGAAAACTCTATCCCAGTTATATCCTACCTTGTTCATGCCCACCATTATTTTTTAAATTTTAAATCATTACATTTGGCCCAGCCATAGATTTTTAAATGCTTGTGTTACTGTTATTGTTTATTTTCTGTTATGAGATTTATTTTAACTGTCTTGTATTGACTATTCTGTTATTGCTTTTGTTTATTGATGTACTGTGGGCTTGTCCTCATGTAAGCCGCACCGAGTCCCGTGAGGAGATCGTAGCGGGAAATAAATAAATAAATAAATAAATAATTATAATTATAATTATAATTATAATTATAATTATAATAATTATTATTATTATTGATTTAACTTCCCAATTTCTAGTAAAACTGAATTGTCTTACAAAAATGATGCATGTCTTAAAAGTGTATCACCAACATCAAATGTTTGGAAAGTTCTCTTCTGTGGTATACTTGGGCCTAAAATATATAAAGTAAATAGGGTTCTCAATTTCACATATCCAAGCGAAGGCTGAGAATGTATGCCTAAAGGGAATATATTTTGTATTATATTCTTTGACATTAATTCAAGATTTGTTTTCATATCAACTTCTGCAGAAACAAAGAAATAAAAAGACATGCTTTAAAAATTGCAATCATGTTAAATTACTCCTATAATTCTTACCATTTTGAACCACTTTGGGGGGAATTCTATTGGAAACTTCTTTCTGGAATAATTTAAAATAAGATAGCTTTGTAATGTCTGTATCCATTAAAAAGATGCTGTTAGTATACAGAGGAGCCAGGAAAGTGAGTGATGTTTTTGGGACCAATGCACATTTATCCCATTGTCACTGGGATATCACCTAGGACTTTCTAAAGTGTATCCAACACTCTTCACAATTCACTAACGGAGTTTCTTAGAGTATCTACTATGTACCTACATAGTAAAGCTGTATAACACACACTTTGATCAAGGATTCTGGCCAACACATTATAATAATATTCACCCAGAATATTCAACAGCCCTGTGGGGTTCCTGGATCTGAATGCGATTTTGGATTCATCCAAACCCCAGGAAGAAAATCCGAAG